GGGGGGGGGGGGGGGTAAAACTCTTCACACGGACCATGGTTGCTTCCATTTTAAACATTTAGACAGCTTGAGTGTATCTTCAGCAGATGTATAAGCATCCACATTGAATCTAAGACAGTCTGCATCTCAATGAACAAGACTCAAACACAAGGTATGGTGGCTTCCATTGCAGACATTTAGAGCAATAGGATGTGTTCAAAAATTATGGAATGGCATATAATGATCCCACAGGACCTCAGAGTCACGAACTAAAANAAAAATTATGGAATGGCATATAATGATCCCACAGGACCTCAGAGTCACGAACTAAAAACCTCCGAAGCATTGTGTTCATTCAAAATTATAAATCACTCTGCTTGTGTCACGAAAGGAGAGATGTGGGCCGAGCAAACTATCTGACAAACACTATANAAACCTCCGAAGCATTGTGTTCATTCAAAATTATAAATCACTCTGCTTGTGTCACGCAAGGAGAGATGTGGGCCGAGCAAAACTATCTGAAAAACACTAGAAATGAGGTTAACTGAAATGGTGAGACGAAGGATTTGGGTGTTCAGTTTGGTATAGTGAAGTTCCTATCTATAACACTGCCAAGATAATACACATGTGCAAGAACAATGTCTATATTGTGGCAACAGATTGATATCAGGACATATCATGGGCTTAGAATCAGCCTATTGTGTTGTACATTAGATATAATTTGTCTATTCTCTTATTAACAGCACATAAGGAACACCACTTGTCTTATTGAACATCAATTGGACACAACAGCATCTTGCACTTTATAAACTGTCAGTTTCCTTCAATATTCATGGTGATATCTCTCCATCTGTTTGAAATTTCATTTTATACTCAAATACCCTGAAAAGGACTCATTGCGTTTCCTGAGGCTGATTCCATGTCCACTCCAACTTTTGAAATTAGGCAACATGAATCTAGCGATGCCATTCAAGGTTGTCAACAAAAATGTCTATAAGCAGGAAATGTGCTCCAAAAACTACTCTTTCTATAATCCTTTTATTTTATTTTCCTTTCTTTTGGTCCTTTTTTAGTGGAAGCACCAACACCAGTTTGACAATTCCAGAACCAGAGTAGATCACAACATGCCCATTATTTCTTAAATCATTGTACTATCACCCCTGGAACTGGAACTATTACAGGCAAGCAATAAATTAGATAATCAGAAATACCAGCATCATAGTTTTGACTTGCTCCTTCGAGGGTGGATCAAAATGAGGTCCGGGCAATCGCTTGTTGATATCACTACATCAAGAACATAAGTAGACTTCTCAAGAATATTAAGTCGACAGAAACAATAAAAAATCATTGATTAACGAGTTTTCAGCATTTAAACAAACCTAGTCATAAAATGGGTAAAAGTTCTTACTTGTACACAAGTAGCACAGCAATATATAGATCTTCAAATGTCAAATTAGCCCTTCCTGTTTCGTTTTTGAAATGATCAAAAACCTTGTCAGTTATCTTTCGAATTTGTTTTTGTCTCCACTGCTTTCCTGTACAAGGAGAAAGATTATCAAAGATGTATGACAGCAGCCTGTCACAAAAACAATATTAATCAATTAAGTTGGTGGCATTAAAGAATAAGCCAATGACCCAAAAAACCCTAGATTCATGATGTAGTGAACTAACTACAGGTTGCAGCAGCATGCACAAAACTTTTTAAGTTCAGGATGCAAGCAAAGAAGCCCAATAATAGTAAAGGAATTATCCAATGGTTAGGTTCATTGGTCTGAATTAACCTTGAAGGGAATTTGGTCCATTTGTCCGCCCGTAATTCGAAGAACACAAACCAGCCAAAATAAATCACTCATAAACAACACCAGAAACCAGACACGGTTACGATGTCCCACAAACAAAAGGAATTACTAAGTCCAATTATACTTGCATATCATCAATCAACAGAATAAAATTAGTGGCAGAATCGTAAACAAACTGCTCCTCCAATTATTCCCAAAACTGCTGATTACATGAGCATACTGCTTCAATGGTTCCACAATTTGAAGCTAAGAGTTTTTTTTTGTTTTTGGGGGGTCAAGCACTATTACAGAGGAGGGGACGATGAGGTTCAAACCCCCGACATTACAGACTCCCTCTAATTTTAAAAAAAATTGTATTTTTAGTCCTATTTTTATTCAAATTTTGTTTAGGCTAAATAAAAACTAGTTTGGTTGTTTCATATGTTAATTTAGTATTGAATTTTCATAAGTTTTTTCATGTTGAAACTTACAAATTTTCTTTGTATTAGCTTGTGAATTTTTTCTAGTCACATTTTGCATCCCCTTGGGCAAATTCCTGGCTCCACCTCTGTTATGGTCCAACTGCAACAGCGGTGATCATTAAACTAACCACTAACCTTTGCTACAAGAGTTCCACAATTCAAAAAGAGAGATTTTTACCGTATCTATCTATATATATAAAACAAACATTTTTTGGATGAGAGGGCTTAAGAAATCTTCCCAACCCCAAATACTTTTTTTCTAGATTTTTTAAATATTTAATTATCTCATTCCATGCATCGCACGAGGTGTCCCCTAGTATATTCATATGGCAGAAAATTGAAATTGAAACTGAAACGAACAATTAAACATATATTTGACTTACATATAATGATTGATTATGTCCCAAATACGAACAACAAAGAAAACTAAAAACGAACCCAATTTCACAACAGTAAAATTCATATCACCCAGAATTTGAAAACCCAACAAATGCATGCCAAAAGACTTTAATGCAGATTGTAGAACCACCATTCTGTGCCTTTAAATTCGAAAAAAAATTGAGATACACCAAAAAAAGAGAGCAAGAGAGAGAGATTGAGTTGAAGTGAAGCTTAGAGTACCTTGGAATTGTCCTATAACTTGTCCCATGGCGTTGGAATTGGTGATGCTGCTATGATCTGGAAGCTCTACGATAGAGATCACAGAGAAGGACTGTAAGCTTCGAAGTTTGGTTGATTTGAGTGAGGAAACGATTGTTTAGGATCTACTTCACCTGAGATTTTTGGTACTCTTTTGGGTCAAAGAGGAAGAAATTGCTCTCTACGTTCGTGTGTTGCTAGGATGATGTGATTGATACAGTCCAGTTATCTTATAACTAGCAGTATCCTAAAAATTTGAGTTTAATTCTATTTAATTATAAATTAAAAATTAAAATAAATAAGGAGAAAAATAAAAAAAACCTGACATTAGAAATTGTGGTGGTTGAGTTAATATTTGAGTAAAAAGAAATTGAATTTTTTTTTTTTGTATAATTTGATCAAATTAGATAAAAATTAAATCAATCTGGACCGTTATTATATTTTTTTTTATCAATCAGACAAGATATAAGGATTTGATAAGTTCACGTAATATGAATCCGATATCGAACTAAATCTGATAAAAAAATTAGTGAATTGAAATTAATTAATTTGTTATATAAATTTAAAAATGACATAATTTGACAATAAATAATTCAGATTAATATTAAAAACAAATAATTCAATTTTTTAAACTTTATTTTTAATTTTTTACCTTTTCTTTATTTGGACTTGTTCCTTTCTAAATTTTTTATTTTGTTGATATTAACAAACACTAGAGAAATCTTACATTCGGGTTGCATGTCTCAACGCAACATAATCTTGGGTTGTGCTTCTGATCCGGTGTTGGAAACCCGATCCATCTCTGAATTCTCTTAACCCCTAAGCTTTAAACCCTCGAAAACCTCCCATCTCTAGCTCCTGTAAGTTCCTGGAGGTTAATNGTTGCATGTCTCAACGCAACATAATCTTGGGCTGTGCTTCTGATCCGGTGTTGAAAACCCGATCCATCTCTGAATTCTCTTAACCCCTAAGCTTTCGTCACAGGTTGGGGTGACAATTCTTACCCACAACCCACTAACCCATTTAATTCGTCCGTTGGATACCTGTTTTTATTAATTTAGGTTAAAAATGAATTAGATATTATTATTTAATTTAAATTTATGAATTAAATCGGATTTAGAGTAGGACCCGTTAGGTTTTTTCTTAAAAACTAATGAATCATAAATACACTCACCACCCCCACCTCTCCAGCTCCAGCCGTTAGACTCCCATGGAGTCTCTTGACGCCAAATTCTACACTACTGACTACACACTGCTTGTCTAACCACTGCTGCTCTCCGACTGGAATTCGACTACTCCGAACTGGAATTCGGCTATTGAATCTTACATCTCCCCATCATTCAAGCTTGCAAAGTGAGTCCCCTCCAATTTTATTTATTGAAATTTCCCAAAAACATTGTCTCGTTACATCAAATGCCCTACTTTCTTGTTTTTTTTCCTTTTCTTCCTCTCTGTTAGCATTAGCTTTGTTTTTCTTGGATTGGATATTGAATTACTTGAGTTATATTTTTTGACCAGTTGTGACATGCCTACAACGTGTTTAATGAAATGCCCAAAAACTATTTAGGCATCACAAAATGAGCGTTAGCAATGATATTGGTTATTAGGATTGAATCTGTAGATAAAGCGGAGTGCAGAAGGGTGGGGGCTGGACTATGATAATGTCCATTTGCAGAGTAGCCTTAACATCGATCGTGTCATCCTACCCAGTATTGGATTCGGATCACTCATCAGTCATTAGCGTCCAACTGTGTGTATGCATGGTGAATCAAAAAAAAACTGAGCTAATCTAGTAAAGGCTTCAATGATAGAATTTGTCCAAAAAAGGTCTACCATGGGTAAGATAAATTATAATACTTGAATGACTTTTTTTTAAAACAGGGATACTATCCTAGAAAAATGCAGAATGACGTTTCTGAACCTCAGGAATTTTCATATCTTTGTACTGTGAAGGTGAGCATTAACTCTTATATATCTGAATTTTGTTATTCAGACCCACAAAGTTCAATTAACCTTAAAAACTGAGCTTTGTGATTCTAGCAACTCTGATATTGCTTCAGCATGAAGTATAAATATAACATTCGATTACAAGTTTTGTCACAAGTTAGCCACTTGTTGTGATCTTCAATCTTATATATCCTCAGCGTAGTCTTGGAATTAAGAAAAGTCTAATGGTGATGCAAGAAATTTGCATCAGATAAATGCATCCTCTTGGGAAAATCAATTGGAGCATACATCAGATACTCCTGCGTAACAGAAAGAGGGTTTTGAAGTACTTTATAACATCATTTCAGCTTTCTCATAGTCAGCTTGATAAATACTTTATCTGTCTTGCATAATACACAGTTTGCTTAGATATTTCAGGCTTATTTTCTGTGTCTGTGCTTCACAAAGCTTCTTTTAGTTTAGGAGCTTTTGTGGGTTCTTAGATTGTTTGGGATGGTGTGGGTGCGGACTCGGATAAGACATGACACTGACACGTTGGGGACACGTTACAAATATGATGTTTAATGTAGAAGGTAATGTAATTTATAAAAAATATAGAAATGGTAATAGTGCTATTCTTAAGAAATTAAAAATAACGTGTTATTTGTGGTCACTATATAGTGCTCACCTTTTCGATTAAAGATTCTTCTAAGTAAATCCGAACTTCTTCATTTCCTAAATTTTTGATATTTTGTGTGTATTTTGGTGTAATATTTTGTGTGTGTATTTTGGTGTAAGTATGTGTATTTTGGTGTAGTAGTGTGTGTATTTTGGTATAATATTTTGTGTGTGTATTTTGGTGTAATATTGTGTGTGTGTATTTTGGAGTAACAGTGTGTGTATTTTGGTTTAATATTTTGTGTATGTTTATTTTGGTGTAGTAGTGTGTGTATATTGGTGTAAGTGTATGTGTATTTTGGTGTAATATTGTGTGTGTGTTTTGGTGTAGTAGTGTGTGTATTTTGGTGTAATATTTTGTGTGTGTGTATTTGGGTGTAGTAGTGTGTAGGTATTTTGGTGTAATAGTTCATGTGTGTGTGTATTTTGATGTAGTAGTGTGTGTGTGATTTATGGGTTAATAGGTTTAATCCAACCCGTGATAAATTCAACCGGTTATAAATGGATTGAATTTATTTTAGCCCAACCCAATCCACCCATTTGCCACCTCTAGTCACAGGTGATCTCTCTCTCTCTCTCTCTCTTTCAACAATATATCTTCTAAGAAGTTTGATGTCTACGAAAAATTACAATCGACATTACTGGAGAATCCTGATTCATTGATTTTGCTTTAGAAATTTTGTGTGATCTTTTTTTCCTTTTCTTCGTGTTTCTTTGTTACCCCGAGATCGGTGTTTCAAGCATCAAATCAAAGCTAAATTCTTGTTAAAATGATGGTTCGACATGAAAGGCAAAAATGATAATATTTGTTAAAGGGGTTGTTTTTTGTGCCAACGTGTTCAGAGTTATATCTTCTGCAGAATCTTTGAGGATATGCAGTTATATCCCCTGAAGCTAAAAGAGATTTGTGTTAGCTCATTGTTTTTTTGTCTTTTTATTTCTTTTGTAATTCATTTTTTTTGCATTTAAATTATACATGCCACTGAATATCCTGATTGCTGCCATTATCTAACTTGTCCTTCCCTTTTCATTTTTACTGTCTTAGGGTCATTTGCTTTTTAGAGATAAAATAGGGGTGAGGATGGTTGAACTTCACCTTGATGATATTGTTAAGGTTGATCGAGTGGACGCAGATGGCAAAAAATATGATAAAGGTACACATGTGGTTATAATGCTTTTAGCCTCTGGGGGAACAATGATACAGCACTTGCTTTGTTATTATTTTTTTACTAGAAATTGCTTTTACTTTAATTAGATTCTCCTTGGAGGATGGAGTTTTATTAATTTCCATTCGAGTAATAGGATCTAATAATTGGATCTGATCCACTGTCCTAATCATGAGTCAGTTGATATAGACTTAATTTTTGATAGGAAGCTGACATAGACCCAATACGAATGTACAACATTCATAGTGACAATAATGTTCTTGGACCATGCCATCAGACACATCATTAGGTTATAGGTTTAGGTATTTAGTCAATTTTTAGGTCTCACTAGCTCTACTCTTTTATTTCAAAACATGAGCACTATTTAGTTGTGTCTAGACAACATGAGAAAGTTGTTTTCCCTATGTGTATACTTAGATATATAATGATCAAAACACAGGGCAGCATCTAGTAATGGTGTGGGAAATATGTTGACTTGCTTGTTTAATTTTGGTTGGATGCTATAGTGATGCCTTTTTAAGGTAGTCAACCACAGTATGAGATCAATTCCTCTTCCGCCTTGCTATTTTGTGCTTAATTTTGATGCTATATGGGTGTGCCTTTGTTATTTTTGTCCTACTCAACTATCTTAATATTTAAGCTAACAATTTCCCAAGTGTGGTTCTTGGTTCTCCAGTTTCTCGCATTGAAGCACAGAGTGAGGAGGATGACATGTACATGCAGCTAGATGTGAACTCGGATTTATATCCTATGCATATAGGGGAGAAATATAGAATGGTTTTAGCTCAAACTCTGAATTTGGATGGATCAGCTGTTACTAGCTATTTCCCTGAGGTAATCTAATTCCAGTTGCTTTTGTTGGTTTATTTATTCTAATCCCATCCCCCCCGCGTGCCCGTGCGCATATGGGGTAGGGATGGAAAGGGAAAAGGGGAACTGGGTGATAAAATTATTTATTTGTCTGGTTTTTGGGGAACTCTCCTTCTCCTTCTGAGATGGGAGTAGGGAGGCTACATTTAATTCAAAATAACTTGGACCTATTTCTTATAGTAGAAGTATTAGTTATTTACACTTCATTTTCTAGTCTAGGCACTGGATTCTACAGAGTTATCAACTTCTAACAGTAGAATGTCTAAGCCTTATTGATTCTTGTAGTGATGTGGTGATAATGTATTATTTTTTCAATCTTTTTTTCATTTTTTTTCGCTTCTTATTTTTCATAACACTAGCAAACATATTATCTCTTGTTGCCCTTAGTACATAGGAGTCAGGATTATCTTTCCCAAGAAGCAAGGTATTCACGAAATGTCTTGTAGAATAAGCGAGGTCTTTGCAACATAATAATCTTTTTCTAGTTTGTTTTGTACCAGAATGAAGTTTAAAAATTAGCTTGTTGCATTAATGAGGTGCTAGATATTGTGAATTGAATTTGGAACGTTTCATTACTCTATGTTTGCCATAAATCAAAAGTATTCCTAGTTAGGAAGCATGGATATGGATATGCAATAGGGGTGTGATACGACGTGGTCTCGGTGATACGACAAACCCTAAAAAAATAGTATATGAATATGGTCATTATACGCCTACAATAATTTTTTTTTTTATATTTATACTATGATGTAAGTATTTTTAATTTTTAGTAACTTTGTTAATTGCAATTCAAAAATAAGAAATTTTTACTTTCAAGTAAGCATAGATCATCTCATCATAGTAGATTTACAAAGTGAACATGTCTAATTTATGAAACCAAAACCAACTTTCAGTAACTAATTTACTTAGAAGTACTTCTTGCCCAGAAATATGATGTAATTAACCTATTTTATGTCCTTTCATGTGTGATAGTGGATAATACCTAAAAAAAACACCAAACTTCAAAGCCATTTGGTTTTTTTTCTTTTTTGCATCATTGTATTTGAAGTTGAGAGGAAACGGTAAAAGTTAAAAATTTAAATTTACACATATTGCTATGTGTATCCACTTCTATATTTGAAGTATATTTATCTTAGATACCCATATCCAAGCATCGGATACGTGTAATAAGTATCTGATATCTATCCAAAAATAAAGAAATATTTTATTATTTTTTGGATATGTCTAGTGTGTATCCAAAATGTATGCTCAAGTATCTGATGAGTATCATATCCGGTATTCGACACCAATACATCAACTCACACAGAGTATGCGTTTCATAGATTCTTGGTGAAATTCATCTGGAAATTCCAGTCATGCCCATGTTTTTTCCATTGCATTTATAAAGTGTTAAGTTTTAAGATTTGTTAGTAGAGAAGGGATTGAAAGAGGGAGAAAAGCAATTGTTATCCTACCTCTGGCTACCCAATTATATTATAGTTATACAATGAAACATAAAAGACGAGTACCCATACATGAGTGTACTAATTACAACCTATACTATGAACACTAATACGAATATTCTTAACAATAAGAAAACATCACTCACAGAACATTGAATTATGAAATTGGGAATTCCTCAATTGTATTGTGCTTTGTTTGGAATTACATCAATTATTTAAGTTTCCTTTTTGTTCTTTATCTCATTTTTAGTGTTGTTTGGAGCTAGGTTTTTTTTGGTAGGTTTTGCTCCTTTTGTTGACTATCCTCTTCTCCTGGATGATATTGTTCTTTTTGAATTTTGAAATCATGGGGAATTCCTCGAATGTGTTGTGCTTTGTTAGGCAGATTCCAGGCCAGACAATTATTTAGTGTTGCTTGGAGCTATAGACTCTTTTGTAGGTTTTGGTTCTTTTTGTTGACGCATTTTCCTCATTTAGTCCAGGGTATTGTTCTTTTTTTGAGTTGTGGGAACTAAGAGGTTGGCTTGGTAGTTGGGGGGACCGTATAAAAATTTATTTATTGTGGCCTTGTGAATATTAAATCTTTTGTCCACGAGTTCAAATTTGACATTACAATTTACTAAGAAATATGAACTCTTGGATTTGCTTGTAATTTTCCTTGTGGTGGCCCTGTAAGTGAATGTTTTATGTTTAGCTATCTTGCTTCTCCCAGTGTGATTGTACATAGTTAGTTATATGGAAAAATAAACCACTAATAGGTGACAAAAAGATGATATGGCTAAGATGGCTGGTTATGGACCAATGGCAAGAATGAGAGATATGGGTCTAGTTGAATGTGAGTTGGATATTAGTCCATGCAGGTTAGGGGCAGTGGTAGCAAGAAATGAGCTGAACAAGATGGTCTAAGAAGTTTCTTTTCCCCTTATCTACAAATAGCTACCTGATTGGCAATTTGTTGAAAAATTAATGCACCAAACTCCATGGGTAAAGCACATGTAATGGGAAGGTTAAAGGGACTTAACGGAAGAAAATTTGGTTGTCTTGTAACATATCTTGCTAACACTACCTACCTTAGGAGCAATTGTATCAATATCAACAATAATGCACCTGATTCTATTAGTGAGTTGTGCTTAGTTATGTCAATGTGAAGGAAAGGTTGGTTAGATAGAATTTTACTGAGGTGGCCAACTGGCAAGGACTTGATCACTTGTGACATAATCGGGAATACACTCTGAGTAACCCTTGTTTCTTTTCTTTTGGCCTTTTTGTTTAAGATTCGTATATTCAATATTGATGTGAGCCATCACCATAGCACCTTACACCTCGGCGTCACACTGTTTTCTGGTTTTGTTACTCTGAATATTCACGTTATGTGCTTTTCTGCATTGCTAGCTTACTCTTTCATTTTAGTAACCTGGAAGATTGCTGATCCAGTCCAACCAGTGCACAGCAATTCTCAATGTCCAAATGTGTCTAGTTGACTTATGAATTAGTTTCAGTTCTGGAGCTTTTTGGAGCCATGAAAATCTGCTTATATTGTGAGCAATGCTGATCAAACATGCGGTAGCCTTAATTGCAGATACATAAGCCTCATTGGTCATGATCCTTTAGCTGTTTTGTCACATGTCCTAAATTTAGAATAAATTCATAGTAGAGAAAAAAATTCATTTGATTACATGAGTCTCAATGGTGGTCACTGTCCAAGTTACCATGGCACAGACTCTTCCTGCTATGTCCATTGCTTTAGATTGGGTGTTTACTTTTTCTGTTGAGTTTCTTTGTGTTCAAATCTACTGGTGAGATCAGTTAAGATGGCTCATTCATAGTCCACATAAATGTTTAAACAATCTCTTTTGAACTTGGTAGTATGTACTTGATACAGAATTCTGGCTTCAATTTTTCGAGGCATAATATCACTTATAAAATGATATTTCTCTGATTTCAGGGCAAGCAGAAATCACTTGCAGACAAATTCGAGTATGTCATGCATGGGCTATTATATAAGATCTCAGAAAACACCGAAGGACCTGATGTTAAAGTGTATGTATGCTTTCTAGACACACATGTCTTCCATTTTTTTTGCATGTCTGGGCACAAAAGTGTAGAATTGTGAGGGCTACTTTGTATCTGCTGCAATTGGCTTGAAAGCATGGACTCTGATTTTGTTGGTGGAAAGTTATGACGAGTATCTTGCTTATGTTTTAGCCTCATCATAGATAAAAGCTGATTTTAAAAGTGTGTTATTCTGGAGGAAAAAAATTTCTCTGAACCTAATCGCTTTATGGATTTTGCCAAACCTCATCTTAATTGTAATGGTCTGTTCGTTGGATTTTCTTTTTGGCTTCAGGGTGGTGTATATTTCTTTTGGAGGACTTCAACTGATGCTGAAGGGCAACCCTGCCAAGATGGGTAAATTTAAGGTTGACGAAAGGTTGTTTCTTCTTTTGAGGAAGATGTGAAGCCCGGTTATAGTTCCTGAGTTGCATCTTTACTGCTGCCAAGAATCATACTGCAAAATGTTTGCCTTCAATTTACTTTTAGTTTGATGTGTTGTTGTGATCCCCATGTTTTCAGTTTGATGTGTTGTTACATTTGTGTTGTGACATTATCGTAGTAAATCATAGTCAGAACCGTTTATGTTTCTGGATAGGTTCTTGGAGACAAACTTTGGCTCAGGTTATAAAATACTTTACTTTTGACCGAAGATTTCTGTCTTCTTTTTTCTCCATCTTGGAAACTTACTTACAATACAATTTTATGTTTTGAGTAATGGTAAAAGGAATCGGGTTTCATTGGTGATGATAGACCTGGCATTCTTTCAATATACTTATCAGACATCAAGCTGGGTAATTCATAAGGTGAAGGCTGCTTTTTTATGACAAGCACAGTAAATATTTGGGCCTAAAGTTGTGTTTTCTGTTTAAAATTTTGGGCAAGTGTAACAGGAACATCGTCCACTCCCTCAAACTGGTTGAGTCGCAACTTGATCCCCATCTCAGCCAATCGGCGGCTGTTCCAGTGTAGAAGTTGGAACATAATGAAGTATCGTTATACGTTTATCTCCATGATTTCAACTCGTGACTCACGTGGTCTTGGGGGATTTTCATCTCCAATGCTTTCGTCACCAGACCACAATCCTGGTAGAGAATTAGGCCAAATCTACGCNTCTTCTCCTGGATGATATTGTTCTTTTTGAATTTTGAAATCATGGGGAATTCCTCAAATGTGTTGTGCTTTGTTAGGCAGATTCTAGGCCAGACAATTATTTAGTGTTGCTTGGAGCTATAGACTCTTTTGTAGGTTTTGGTCCTTTTTGTTGACGCATTTTCCTCATTTAGTCCAGGGTATTGTTCTTTTTTTGAGTTGTGGGAACTAAGAGGTTGGCTTGGTAGTTGGGGGGACCGTATAAAAATTTATTTATTGTGGCCTTGTGAATATTAAATCTTTTGTCCACGAGTTCAAATTTGACATTACAATTTACTAAGAAATATGAACTCTTGGATTTGCTTGTAATTTTCCTTGTGGTGGCCCTGTAAGTGAATGTTTTATGTTTAGCTATCTTGCTTCTCCCAGTGTGATTGTACATAGTTAGTTATATGGAAAAATAAACCACTAATAGGTGACAAAAAGATGATATGGCTAAGATGGCTGGTTATGGACCAATGGCAAGAATGAGAGATATGGGTCTAGTTGAATGTGAGTTGGATATAAGTCCATGCAGGTTAGGGGCAGTGGTAGCAAGAAATGAGCTGAACAAGATGGTCTAAGAAGTTTCTCTTCCCCTTATCTACAAATAGCTACCTGATTGGCAATTTGTTGAAAAATTAATGCACCAAACTCCATGGGTAAAGCACATGTAATGGGAAGGTTAAAGGGACTTAACGGAAGAAAATTTGGTTGTCTTGTAACATATCTTGCTAACACTACCTACCTTAGGAGCAATTGTATCAATATCAACAATAATGCACCTGATTCTATTAGTGAGTTGTGCTTAGTTATGTCAATGTGAAGGAAAGGTTGGTTAGATAGAATTTTACTGAGGTGGCCAACTGGCAAGGACTTGATCACTTGTGACATAATCAGGAATACACTCTGAGTAACCCTTGTTTCTTTTCTTTTGGCCTTTTTGTTTAAGATTCGTATATTCAATATTGATGTGAGCCATCACCATAGCACCTTACACCTCGGCGTCACACTGTTTTCTGGTTTTGTTACTCTGAATATTCACGTTATGTGCTTTTCTGCATTGCTAGCTTACTCTTTCATTTTAGTAACCTGGAAGATTGCTGATCCAGTCCAACCAGTGCACAGCAATTCTCAATGTCCAAATGTGTCTAGTTGACTTATGAATTAGTTTCAGTTCTGGAGCTTTTTGGAGCCATGAAAATCTGCTTATATTGTGAGCAATGCTGATCAAACATGCGGTAGCCTTAATTGCAGATACATAAGCCTCATTGGTCCTGATCCTTTAGCTGTTTTGTCACATGTCCTAAATTTAGAATAAATTCATAGTAGAGAAAAAATTCATTTGATTACATGAGTCTCAATGGTGGTCACTGTCCAAGTTACCATGGCACAGACTCTTCCTGCTATGTCCATTGCTTTAGATTGGGTGTTTACTTTTTCTGTTGAGTTTCTTTGTGTTCAAATCTACTGGTGAGATCAGTTAAGATGGCTCATTCATAGTCCACATAAATGTTTAAACAATCTCTTTTGAACTTGGTAGTATGTACTTGATACAGAATTCTGGCTTCAATTTTTCGAGGCATAATATCACTTATAAAATGATATTTCTCTGATTTCAGGGCAAGCAGAAATCACTTGCAGACAAATTCGAGTATGTCATGCATGGGCTATTATATAAGATCTCAGAAAACACCGAAGGACCTGATGTTAAAGTGTATGTATGCTTTCTAGACACACGTGTCTTCCATTTTTTTTGCATGTCTGGGCACAAAAGTGTAGAATTGTGAGGGCTACTTTGTATCTGCTGCAATTGGCTTGAAAGCATGGACTCTGATTTTGTTGGTGGAAAGTTATGACGAGTATCTTGCTTATGTTTTAGCCTCATCATAGATAAAAGCTGATTTTAAAAGTGTGTTATTCTGGAGGAAAAAAATTTCTCTGAACCTAATCGCTTTATGGATTTTGCCAAACCTCATCTTAATTGTAATGGTCTGTTCGTTGGATTTTCTTTTTGGCTTCAGGGTGGTGTATATTTCTTTTGGAGGACTTCAACTGATGCTGAAGGGCAACCCTGCCAAGATGGGTAAATTTAAGGTTGACGAAAGGTTGTTTCTTCTTTTGAGGAAGATGTGAAGCCCGGTTATAGTTCCTGAGTTGCATCTTTACTGCTGCCAAGAATCATACTGCAAAATGTTTGCCTTCAATTTACTTTTAGTTTGATGTGTTGTTGTGATCCCCATGTTTTCAGTTTGATGTGTTGTTACATTTGTGTTGTGACATTATCGTAGTAAATCATAGTCAGAACCGTTTATGTTTCTGGATAGGTTCTTGGAGACAAACTTTGGCTCAGGTTATAAAATACTTTACTTTTGACCGAAGATTTCTGTCTTCTTTTTTCTCCATCTTGGAAACTTACTTACAATACAATTTTATGTTTTGAGTAATGGTAAAAGGAATCGGGTTTCATTGGTGATGATAGACCTGGCATTCTTTCAATATACTTATCAGACATCAAGCTGGGTAATTCATAAGGTGAAGGCTGCTTTTTTATGACAAGCACAGTAAATATTTGGGCCTAAAGTTGTGTTTTCTGTTTAAAATTTTGGGCAAGTGTAACAGGAACATCGTCCACTCCCTCAAACTGGTTGAGTCGCAACTTGATCCCCATCTCAGCCAATTGGCGGCTGTTCCAGTGTAGAAGTTGGAACATAATGAAGTATCGTTATACGTTTATCTCCATGATTTCAACTCGTGACTCACGTGGTCTTGGGGGATTTTCATCTCCAATGCTTTCGTCACCAGACCACAATCCTGGTAGAGAATTAGGCCAAATCTACGCACAGTTTTTGATGAGGAGAAAAGAAAACCCTGACCATGTGTTGAAACAAGCATTAGACAAAATGCTTTAAAATAATTTGGTGGCTCCATTGTGCAAAATGAATACTGCATTTCCCTTGGTTGACACCCAAAAAGGAGCATTGGGCACTGTCTTGACTGTGACTTGAAGCCTTGAAACATCAATACATACAATGCACTTGATTTTAACGAGAATGTCTATTTCTCATAGGAGACCATTGGGGATCTTTTACGTGGATTGCTCTTGATAGAGCACAATAAAGAAATAGGATTCACGTAGTCAACATCAAATAGCTGGGGAAGAAACTTTATTGTGTTGAGTTTTATCGATTCCTGATAGAGAGGAGACTTTTCTTCCCCTTCCTAACTGCCTAAAAGCCTGCTATTACAAGGAAACTTTATCACAAGCAACGGGGCTACTTTTCAACATGACACAAACTACAGTTTCAATGTCAACATTGTGCTTTGTGATTGAATGGAAGGAGATGCTTTGTGAACTGGTTAATAAACCATAACAGATTGAAGACACTGAAATTTTAATGTATAGCAGCAGGAAAAGATGCATTAAAATGGACTGAAAATACCACCAGGCTGGTGGTCCAGTAACTTGCAGTGCCCCACCTCGTTTATGATCCTCCCCAACTCCCAAGAGGTTAGCAAGCAAGGTTCAATTCACGAGGACTCCCGCTGCCCCTACTGGCAGCTCTGTAGTGTGGGGGTTAAACTATGACTCAAGTGTTGGCCTTTGATAGCTTGAAGGAAAAACACTAATTCCCAATTGTAAAACCACATCACAGGAAATTCCTAGACTAAGTGCCTGTGTGTTGCAGCTGTGTAGTATTTCCATGTTTGGTAGGAGGTGCCTCTGTTTGGAGAACATAACTCACCAAATTTTGATGACCTCATTAAGACGCAAGCATGTTGAGTGTATCTTCTCAATTATGAATAAAGGGTGTGCGGCTTTCCAATATTTCTTATGAGTGAAAAAAAACAATTTTGGCCATCATATTGGACAATTTTTTCAACATCTTAGCGCATCAATAAGTTTACTCCATTGTGATCTGGGTGTCGAGAGCTTGAGTCGCAGAAATAGTCACTCCACATGTGGAGTAAAGTTGCATACATCTTACTCTCTCTAGACCAGCGCCGGGGTGGGGGGGGGATCCTCGTGCCATAGGCTGCCTTTTTATGTCTGAAAATTTTTACTCTCATATGGCAATCCTGGATTTTGATAAAGCCCATGGCACAAAATCCTGGCAGAAAGTCAAAGCCATTACTAACTTCAAAGAAAGAAAAATGGTGTGGAGAAACTTCAGAAATTTGTCTGAAGCAGTCTCAGCTGCATAGAAACTATCAGAGATTTGTGGCAAGCCTGTTACTGACAAGAAAACATATACACCTATGGCTGTAAAAGGGCGTACCCATGCACCAGGATATTGTCATTGCAGGGTCTGGGGAGGGTTATCTTTGCAACCATGACTTGAACCCATGATCTCCAGGTCACAATGGAGCAACCTTACAGTTGCGCCAAGGCCTGCTCTCTATAGCTGTCATTTCTGATTATCAATTCTCACTGGAAGGCCATCAATTCACACACATGCTAATTCTGTTAGCTGATGATCTGAGTAGCATCCAGGAGGATTATTAATTAAGGTAGTTTGAGGTCAATGATTAAAACAACAATGCAAGTTCAAAAAAAAAAAAAGAAAAAAGTGAGAGATTTAACTACAGTGTAAATAATATGAGGAGAGAGAAAGTTAACATTGAAACTCTCTATCTTGGGTGCACCTTTTTCTTCTTCACATGGCAGTTACAGTCATGCATGCTACTAATGCACCCAAACTTCCTCTTCATTTCTTTCCACATGCTAATTTTCTCCCTTTTCACTCCACTGCCGGAACCACCCTGAATTTCTTCCCTCATGATGCAGCATTCTCTTTCTAACTCCAACACCTTGCTGCCCATTTTCTCCATCTCTGTCATCACTTCTTTACTACTGCTGTTTCTTGCTGCTTCTCCTCCTTCTTCTTCATCCCCCAACTGTTTTAACCTGTCATCATAACCTACCTCCTTCGTAATCATGTCTCTAAGCTTCAACTGTCCCACAAACAATACCTGCACCACCAATCTCAATGGCAACCGTTCATTCTGTGCAGCATGCTCACAAGCATCCGGGGACATCTTGTTGCAATCCAACAACCGACACACCTCCTCTCTCTCTGATTCTGTCAGATATCGATGCCTGTCCAAATAGATATCGATGGCCCTGTATATACCATCAGAGCTTCGTTGTGTTCCCTCCGATGCTGCAATTGACATCTCAGCAAGTGATGTGAATGTGCTTGTCTTTAAGTCAATGTCACTCGCGACCTCTGCCAATAAATCTTCTACAAGTTCTGCCACTGCAATTAGTCCAGAAGCATCTGGACCAGTGTAATTGCAGTAAAAACTTTTCAAAATCCTTCTCACACATTCTGTATCATACTGCTCTTCTTTAGCATACCCTTGGGAAGGTATTAAGAGGTCGCTGACTGTGACCTCATCTAGTTGCTTTCCAATTCTGACCTCAAACCGATTTCTGCATTCAGGGTTTGCTTCCAATTCTATTGCTGATCGGAGCATTTGAAACAGCAATGTGCATGGAAGGAGTCCTTTCTCATCAGGCAAAAGTCCCTCCACTGCTTCAATGATTTCTCTTTGAGAATTCCTCTTGTAAATTGAAATTTCATTCTCTCCTGTGCCACTGGAAAAGACCCATTTCTTTGCATACTCACACAGAGATGAAGCCACATACTCAGGCGGGACTTGGCGTTGAATCATTGCCCGGATGACTGGTTCATAGAGCCGGATATGCAGTGTTGTCAAATCTTCAGATTGCCAATCAAGAACAAAGAGCTTCCTCCTTGCATTTACCCTATATCCATGCTCATTTTCCTCACTATCACCTTCAGATGTCAAATTTTTCATCGATTCACCCAAGAGGCGAGGATTAGCCAATGCCTTCGATATAATGGACTCCACACAGATATCAACCAAGCCCAGATGCAATGCTTGTTGAAAGTTATTTCCTATGATCTTGAGGGCTTTGACAGATTTGTTCCAGCTAGGAATGACTTGCTGTTCTAAGAAGGTTAGAGCCTTTTTTAGTAAATTATTGGTGCTGTGATTTTCAGTCATTCCAAGGTAGTAAGCTAGGCAACAGATAGGAATAACATTCTCAGTCGTCATGTTTGGTTCAAAACCATGGCAGAATCTTGCTACAAGCTCAAAAGTTTCCGGGTCAGCAGGGATGTCTCTGAGTAAATGTGAGACATCTTCATTTGGATTCTCTTTCAGCAAAACAGCTAATTTGGCTGATTTTGCAGCCAGAAGCTCCTACAAATTTAATAGCCATCAACAAAGGCAAATCAAACAATGCAGGAGAAGAAAAAAACCAGAAAATTTACCAAAAAAAAAAAAAAAAACAGAACGCTAATTATATACATTTTCACCCTCCCCAGATCCCAGAGCCCTGCACTGGATTGTCTTTTTTTTTTTAAATGCTAACTATATGCTTTTCTTTCTTTTTTTGATTCGACGATGAAGGGTTCGGGCTAGTTTACTCACATCTCGACTAATTTTCTCCCTAGTTCACGGACAAAAGGAGACCATCTATGCCGGACAAAAGGAGACCATCTATGCCAGAACTAGGATATTCATAAGGGATAAATCCCTCGTGGCTTAGTCCCAAGAAATTACTAAGATTTAAACTCAGATTGTCTGAGTTTATTGCTCGATCCTTTTATTACTTGAGCTACCCACACGGGTTATATTTTCTTTCAAAACGGCCCAAGCAACCAAATTTAAAATAAATGCAGCCACGGGAGCCATTTTAAAAAGGGAAAAATTAGCACTACTTGATGAAATAGGTTCTTTTAGAATCAATTTCAAATAGAGGTTATAACAATCCAAACTATCGCACTACATCATCTCCCTTTTGATGTTGCACAAAAGCCATTATTTTATGTTCAGGTAGCACTAAAAATGCTACAGAAAAGAAAATAAACCGAGGGAGAGAGACTGGGGGTTGTGCTTATTACCCTATCCAGAGTAAAGGGTACTCCACATACACTGAGGTGAACATCTGATGAAGATGCAAACTTTGAAATCCTGAAACATGGAAAAAGGGTCAGAAAATTCTGTACATGGAAGAGTCATCAAAAACAGAGAGAGGGGAGGTGTTTTACCATGATGATGATTCTATTGTGCCTTGTGTAGTGGCCATCTTATTGCTTCTTTTTCTCTTGGCTAGACAGGACAACAGTAGATGTCAAGGCTCACCATGAAAGTGTGATGGGTTGGGTAGTGAAGGAGAGAGTAACATGGGATTGGGAAGTGATAAAAGAGATGAGTAGGTGAGTATATATCTATAGAAGTGGGAAGTGGGAAGTGGATGAGAGAAAATTTCTCTAGGAAGTTACCTGATGAAGTGGAGAGAGAGTTATAGATTGTTTGAAAATTTAATTTTTGAGATAAGAGAGAGTGTAGTGTAACGTTGTTATCCATCATTTGAGTGGGAGTAGTGTTTTTATTTAATAAAAACTAATAAAATTGAAGAAAATATCCCTTCTTTCTTCCTCCATTTCCACCTAAAAAACCGGTGCTATATCTCTAAAGTCCTCCATGAAACATATTAAATACTGATTCTTTCCACCCATGACTTATAAACAAACACATGCGTGTAATTATGTTTGGGGTGATTTATATTTAGGGATTGTTTTGTTTTACGTGAACACTTGTATTAAGGTAAAAAATTTATAAAATTAACTTTTGACAAAAATACTTTTAAAGAAGAGGATTATTTAACGACCTCGTCTATTATTCCATTTTTATATTTATTAGGGAGAGTTGCATTCAAATTTTCTGAAGTTTGTCATTTAATCACTCAGACTCTGGAATATTTAAAATATTTCACAAAAATCTTTTGAGGTTTGTACGAGGGTAATACTTAGATTCCTGCCGTCAATGTTCGTTAGTATATTTGTTAGTAAATTATACCAAGATTTTTTGAAGTTTGTAGGCGTGGAATACTTAAACTCCTCAAGTTTAAAATATTATACTTAGACTAAAAATACTTCAATCAAAGATAGAATAACAATTATTTTAAATTTTACAACCAAAATTCATATTATATTATTACATTTATTGAAATAAAGTCAAAAATAAAATTTTATTTTAAAAAAAAAAAATCATAATTAGTATACAATTATACTATTTATTGAAATTTAATTTGGTTATCTAAATAACCAAATTAAACAACCAAATTATTCAAATTAAAGATAGAAGATATTGTGTCTTTACATTTTGACCTCTTATTTGAATTTTTAGTTTTATTATAATAGTACAATATAATTGTATACTAATTATGATTTTTTAAGAAAAAAATTAGAATTTTAATTTTAATTTTATTTTAATATATGATATAATAGAAAATGAATTTTTGTAGTAAAATTCATGTTATATTATAAATGACTTAGACTCCTTATTTGATTTTTTAGTTTAATTCCAATAGATAGTATAATTGTATACTAAAATACGATTTTTTAAGAAAANGTCATTTAATCACTCAGACTCTGGAATATTTAAAATATTTCACAAAAATCTTTTGAGGTTTGTACGAGGGTAATACTTAGATTCCTGCCGTCAATGTTCGTTAGTATATTTGTTAGTAAATTATACCAAGATTTTTTGAAGTTTGTAGGCGTGGAATACTTAAACTCCTCAAGTTTAAAATATTATACTTAGACTAAAAATACTTCAATCAAAGATAAAATAACAATTGTTTTAAATTTTACAACCAAAATTCATATTATATTATTACATTTATTGAAATAAAGTCAAAAATAAAATTTTAATTTTTTTAAAAAAAATCTTAATTAGTATACAATTATACTATTTATTGGAATTTAATTTGGTTATCTAAATAACCAAATTAAACTACCAAATTATTCAAATTAAAGATAGAAGATATTGTGTCTTTACAGTTTGACCTCTTATTTGATTTTTTAGTTTTATTCTAATAGTACAATATAATTGTATACTAATTATGATTTTTTAAGAAAAAAATTAGAATTTTAATTTTAATTTTATTTTAATATATGATATAATAGAAAATGAATTTTTGTAGTAAAATTCATGTTATATTATAAATGACTTAGACTCCTTATTTGATTTTTTAGTTTAATTCCAATAGATAGTATAATTGTATACTAAAATACGATTTTTTAAGAAAAAATTAGATTTTTATTTTAATAAATGATACAATAGAATATGAATTTTAATTGTAAAATTTAAAATATTTGACATTTTATCTTTGATTAAAGTATTTTTTATCTAAATATAATATTTTAAATTTGAGAGGTCTAAATATATATATGCCTACAAATTTCAGGGGGTCTGGATATAATTTATTAATGAATATTGATGGTAAAAGTTTAAGTATGATGCGTATACACACTTAGACAGTCTATATATAATATTTTAAATGCCAAGGATTTGAATGATTAAGTGATAAATTTTAAGAGAGTTTAAGTGTAATTCTCTCTTATATTTATTACCACCCACCATTGCCTCCGATCACCACCGCCCACCACGCACCACCATTGTTGTTGTCTCACCAACTATTATTGCCAACAAACACTATCGTTATTAATCACTATCATTCTCGCCCACCACCATCCATTACCACTACCATTGCCATCACCACAGCCATCGCCATCACCATTACTTACACTCGCCCAAAAATTTATTGGAAATTTTCCCACAAACATTGGGTTCTAACCAAATGAACTCTAAAATTTTTTGAAGGTTATTGATGCAAAATTTTCTCGCAAAACAATATTCCATGAATTTTTTTAAGACCCTTTGCACAATTTTTTAGAATTTTTTAAAACTTCTAAAGTTTTTTACGATGAATCTTGAACATTTACTATTGATCCTATTTTAAGATCAATTCAAAAATTATTAAGATGAATTGTGAACTTCCAAAAAGTTATAAATTGACTTCTAAAAGATAATAACTTGATCAATAAAAATACTAAGATAATGTCAAAAATTATAATTTTTCTAGAATCAATCTTAATATTTTAGGAGCAATTGCAATTTTTTTTTACTTATAAATAGATCACAAAAACTTGTATGATGGCCCACAAAAAAATAAAAATTTTGGTACCCAAGTGAAATTAAGATTTTTTTATTTATTTATATCTTCGTTGAAATATCTAATTCCGGGTTCGAATTTATCGAACCGGGTCTGGGTCGAATATTAATGCATTTGTAAAGACAGATTAAACCTGTGATTAGTTTAATGGTTACCGCTTCAAGGTCGCGGGTTCAAACTTGCACTGTCCTTCATTTAGGTCTCAGCAGACCAACGGTCGGACCTAACTTGCTACCCCGCAATTCACTTTGCTGGTCCATTGTCAGAGTAAGTAGGTAACTTTTAAGTATTTTTTCTTATGTGATGGTTATATGTATAGTTTATGCATTTGGTGTTCATTGAATTCAGAGATCAATAGCGTAAAATCACTTTTTGATTGGTGATGATTGTATAGAAATTTACAGATCAGAAAACCCACAAGTTGCTTGACAAAATTCCTGAGTGATTTGATGGTGATGATTTTATCGAAATTTAGAGATCAGCAAAACCCACAAGTTGTTTGACAAAATTCCTGAGTAACATTGTTATACAATGGGAACTGAACATTTCACAGTTGGGTTCTTGTATCTTGGCTTTCATTTACAAGATAAACCTAGGGTATGTCTTGGATTGTGGTCCAATCTTGAATATTAGGAATTGCCATTAGTTGTCAAATTTAATCTTTTTAGAGCACAGGTGTTGTTTTGCTAGCATTTTGGAAGTGATTTTACTGCTTTTGGATTCAAAATGTGCTCGGGCCTTTGATCAGGAAAGCTACCAAGTTACTTCCTCATTGCTGATGGAACAGGACCATGGCAGAGTTTTACCATTGGCCAACCGAGCCTAAAACTGTCGTTAATTGGGGTCTTAATACTTCTAGTGTTTTGATTGTTCTTTATTGCAAACAGGAAATCTACTGTATCATGATCAGACTGATAAAGTGGTGAAGAGGAATGGCAAAAGGGCTGATATGGGCAACGGCAGAGGATTTGGCAAGAAACAGAGGGCGGGTTTTGTCTCTTTATCGACAAATACTGCGAAGCCTCAACTCACCTGATTTGCCACTGAATTTAGCAGCAAGGCTGTCCAAGAAAGCGGAGGTTCGTGCCATTTTCATGCTGGCTGCGGAGGAGCAATCTCTCCACAACATTGAAGATCTTATTGATACTGCTGAGTACTCTCTTTCACTTTTAAGAAAAGGAGAAATCCCAAAATACATTCAATGAATAAATTACTTTGTGTTCTCTCTTGTTCTTGTTTTATGTGTAAAGAGGTTGTGAACTAGTTTGTCATATTCATAATGCTGTTGTATGCCTGTATCTGATGATGCTATTTTGAGTGAACAAAGGCCTACAAGATGGTGAAGAATCTGTTTGATATCGGTGTCGTGCTCATTTCAGGATATGCTCTTGAAGGCAAAATCAGAAAACAGGAAAGGATTGGAAATGCCCATCTTGATTTCTTACCTAGACTGATGAAAATACGCTAACTGATTCTTGAGGATAGACCTGATTCCAATGAAAAGAACCAAAATCAGTATTGTATTTTGTTCTGATTCATGGTTTGGATGATTGGTGAACCTTAATTTATGTCCATCATGTTTGTCATCTATACGAAAAAAGTTGGACCTCGAGTGATGATAAGTGCTCATCCAACCAAGCAATGTGACGTGGGTTCAAGCATGGGAACCGAACTCTACAAAAATGGGAGTGAAATTGTTTACCGCATACTTTTTTTACACCCAGTTATAAATTGAAGCATTGTGTACGGGGTGCTATTTATTTATTTTCACCTTTTCATTTCAATGAATCCCTGTTAATGGTGTTAAGTCATAAGATACACAGCACAGGGAGAATAAGGATTTCTTTAACCAATTAGTGGCAATTATTGTATCATTACATAGAATCGTTGCATCTGCTAACAAGGATAATAAAGCTGTGCTCCAGTTTTTCGAATAAAAACTGGAGCATTTTGTTACGTACCTCCAGCCAATATTTTGTTACGTATTGCTCCAATTTTTTAGGCAAAAGTCCTATATGGTGAAGAACCCGGTTAGGACAACTTTGTTTAAAAAAGAGTAATGCTATTGAGACCTAATTTACTGTCATATGAATTAACTGCATTCCATCAAAGTTGATGCCAATGCAAATGTTTTGTAACTACATCGATATGGCGGGCGGACCGGGCCACCCAGCACCCTATACACAGCCAATCGACGGCTAAGATTCACCAGAAAATTTATCAGGGGACCCACTAACGGACCCAGCTGGATTCTAATTTGTTTTGGCACTTCCCGCCACCGGTCGTTATACTTAGTTAACAATTCTTGTTTGGGAACCCAAAAAGTCATCATGAGCTTGTTTTGCTCGTCTTGTTTGAAAATTCCACAACCCTTTGACGTTCATTCACAAGAACACTTAGTCCTCCGCAGAATCGAGTCATGCAAATCCATACAAGAACTCAAACGAATCCACTCTTACATCGTGAAAGCAATCCCATCTCTCTCTACACAGCAACTCATATACACCAAAATCTTCTCTTCATGTGCAGCTATATCACCCTCTACAGACCTCAGCTATGCCCACTCCCTTTTCACCCAATTGCAAAACCCATCCATTAGTCTCTACAACACCATTATCAGGTATTTTTCACGTTGCAAGAACAGTGAAGATTCACTAACTGCATTGTTGTTTTACCGTGAATTGCTTGTGAAAGGGTTGTTTCCTAATTGCTATACTTACCCTTTTGTTTTCAAAGCGTGTGCACAGTCGGGTGCGCTGAGAGAAGGGGAAATGGTTCATGCAGATGTGATAAAAAATGGGTTGGTATCGGATTTGTATGTAGTGAACACATTGATGCGTTTGTATGCTGTTTGTGGTGTTATTGGGGCAGTAAGAAAGGTGTTTGATGGAAGTCCTCAACAGGACTTGGTTTCATGGACTACACTGATTCAAGGGTGTGTTGATATGGGGTATTGGAAGGAAGGGGTAGAGCTGTTCTTCGATATGTGTGGAGCTGGTTTTAGAGCTGATGGAATGACAATGGTGGTTGTGCTTTCTGCATGTGCTAATTTGGGAGACTTGAGTTTGGGTAGAAAGATACATGATTATATGCGTGACCAAAAGGTGCAGTTTGATGTTTTTGTTGGAAATGCATTAGTAGATATGTATTTGAAGTGTGGCGATGCTAATTTTTCTTGGAAAGTTTTTGATGAGATGCCAGTGAAAAATGTGGTTTCTTGGAATTCGATGATATCTGGACTGGCTCAACAAGGGAAATACAAAGAATCTGTGAATGTGTTTCGGATGATGCAGAGCAGAGGTACTAAGGTGGATGATTTTACTTTAGTTGGCGTGCTGAATTCGTGTGCTAATTTAGGAATGCTTGAATTGGGCAAGTGGGTTCATGCCTATTTAGATAAAAATCAGATTACAGCTGATGGGTTTATAGGAAATGCACTTATTGATATGTATGCAAAGTGTGGAAGCATAGATGAAGCCCTTAGAGTGTTTGAAGGACTGAAATGTAGAGATGTTTATACATATACATCCATAATTGTTGGGTTAGCAATGCATGGGCGGGGAGAGAGAGCTCTTGAACTCTTCCGTGAGATGTATAGAATGGGCATAGAACCAGATGGTGTCACGTTTGTTGGTGTCCTGACTGCATGTTGTCATGTAGGACTTTTGGATGAAGGAATGAATCTTTTTCTGGAAATGTTTAGGGTGTACCACATTAAACCTCAAACAGAGCACTATGGCTGCATGGTTGATCTTTTAGGTCGTTCTGGATTGATAAGTGAGGCAGAGAAGTTCATTAAAAGCATGCTAGTTGAGCCTGATGCCTTTGTGTGGGGAGCGTTGCTAGGAGCTTGTAGGATCCATGGAAAAGTTGAACTTGCGGAAAGGGTAATGGAAAAACTTGTAAAGATACAGCCCGAGGAAGATGGTGCATACATACTCATGTCAAATATATATTCCTCCGCAAGTAAGTGGAGGGAATCATTGAAGATCAGAAAGGCAATGAAAGAAAGAAAAATAAAGAAGACTCCAGGATGTAGCTCAATTGAAGTGGATGGTGTGGTTCATGAATTTCGAAAGGGTGACAATTCACACCCAAAAACTAAAGACATACACATGTTCCTAGATGCAATAGCAGGTCATATAACATTTAATGGCACTTGAGAAGCAGTGATGCATTCTCATACTGGATTTGGTTAAGGGAGCCTGTATTGTTTTATCAATTGAGAAGATAGAGCTGAGTTTGCACTTTGCACTTGCTCTAATCTTGCTGGGTGCCAAAGTTAACTGTATGGAAGAGTGGGGAGTTTGGTCACTATTACACTTTCACAGACCTATTTAGAAAAACAGTGAGGCTGGCTTCTGATTTCACCATTTTCTGAACACATTGGCAAAAGGCAGCATTCCTAGACTTGGAAAACTTTACTGTGACTCTTTGAAGATTGGCAAGAAATATTTGATCTCTGTTCACCATGTCAAATTTTGGTGAGGATGCATGGTCATTTTGAGTTAAAGGTTCATCTCATTTCAAAGACCATTTCATTGATTGATTCCATTGTGTTTCTGTTGCAATTAGATCTATAGCTAATAAAATATTTTTGTAACAACTGTCCCTTAAACAAACAGCAAGATGGTGGAGATCCAGCTGAAGTTCATCGAGGACCTTTGACACAAACAGCAAGCAATTGATCCTCTTCTGCGGAACGAGTGTGATGTTCACTTCATCATCAATGATACGGACATCAACCTCGGTATTCTTGGACTTCCTCTGAAGCCATGAACTCCTTAATGATGATCCATTGTAGGCCTGGTCTTGATCACCAAGAGGTGTCATGCTAATACTCTTTCCATCCCCTACATCATCTTTTGTTTTGTGCCTCTTGATCCTCTCTGCTGCACGTCGCTTGTCCACCAGAATCTTAAGTTCATTAGCTGTTCTAAGAAGCTCTTTGATATATTCTATAGCATCTCCCACTATTGATGCTCTTTCATTCTTGGTATGCTCCCCCAAACAAAAAATTTGAAAATGTCAAGCAAGGAAAATTCGCTGATGAAAGCTTATGCATGTTGAGGCAGTTAATTTAATCGAATTGTGAGGTAATCTATAGAAGCAGAAGAGAAAAATGGAATAGATAGCAGAGTGGAATGTGGAAATTGCTAACAAGAAAAAAGGCAAATCAAGCAGTATAGTTTCATCAAAATGCAAGTTAAAAGAGTTGTTAGTAGAAATTGTTTCTTTCATACAAACATATATCGTTTATAACATGCAGAGAGAGAGAGAGAGAGAGACCTTGGTGGGGTTGGGAAGCAAATTTCTCAAGGCCTTGTACTTGTCATTCAAGTTTTCTCTCCTTTGCCTCTCAGTAGTGAAGTGTTTCATATCCTTGCCATCCTTCCCTTTCATGTCCCCAGAGAAATTTAAAACTCCACTGTCAACATGCCTCCCATTCTCACCTTGATACACACCTCCACTTNCCCTTCCCTTTCATGTCTCCAGAGAAATTTAAAACTCCACTGTCAACATGCCTCCCATTCTCACCTTGATACACACCTCCACTTGCCTCTCTCTCATCCACCCTATTAAGCAAAGATTCAATTCCGGGTCTTAAGTTGTAACTGTGCGGCAACGACTGAATCAACCCCTAAACATTGGAGGCTGTGGAGGAAGGTTCAAAGGTAACAGTGGGTCATAGAAAACATTTGAGGCTGGTGTGCTCTCTGCTGTCATAAGGTCTCCTAGAAAGCTTAATGAGCTTGGAAAATTAGCGGAGCTCTGGATTGGGTTTGTAATGGAGATTGATGCATTGGGTGGCAGAGGAAGATGAATATCGAGGCAAGTGCAACAGATTGAGGAGGTCTGGTGTTGGGGGGTATGGGGTGACTGGAAATGAAGAAGAGTTTAAGCCTTGGAAGTGACCATTTTGAATTTTTTCTTGTTGCAAGTTTTGATCTTGCTGGTGAGCGTAGTGACAGAAACTCGTGGACTGCATGTCATGGACATTGGTCTCCCAATTTGACTGATCACCTGATAACGCATGGTTGGGGTCATGAACTGCTTCTTGCATCAAATAGGTGTCACTATGATTGCTGTTGGGGTCGTAATAGTGTTCCCTCTCCATACTCAGTTGTTGCAGCTCTATCTCCACGGCTGCAGGGGCAACTCCGTTGCAGGCAGGGGCATCTTCTTGGGAAAAATTTTGGTGGTAGGAGAGTTCTTCAATGGAGAACTTTGGATTGCAGTTTGGCAGATGGGTGTGTGAAAAACTATCCTCAGCTAGTACTTCTTCTATGGTGTTGGGATCAAAGTAACCACTATGGTCATTCATTTTCAGGATCACCAGGTAGCTATGTTTCCTTGTCTTCTGTATTTTGGATCACAGGCTGCACCAGATAACAAGTTACAAAAGTGGAAAAAAGTAAGTACATGAATTGGTATTAACAAAGATTGCAAGAGAATTTCATGTGTATATTGGCAAGTGGAGGAGGATGACTTAGCCAAACCTCTAGAAGGAAACTATCAGAGGGTATTTAAATTAAAAATTGAACCTGTTGAACCCCTGTACAAACTTCAAAGCAACATAGTTTGTGTTTACATAAACCCAAAAAAGATCACCAGGTTAATGGAAAATAAAATCTCTCTCTCTCTCTCTCTCTCTCTCTCTCTCTCTCTCTCTCTCTCTCTCTCTCTCTCTCTCTCCACACACTTGGATGCTTATCCGATAGTTATCTTTACTAATAAGATAGGACTCATTTTGAATCTTTTTTTACTTTAAAATTTAATTTATTTGGAAAAGCATAAGAACGGCTCAGATTAAATCCACTTTTAATTCAAAGGCCCACATTTTCATCTCATTTCTTCCATTTCAATCCAATGGCTTGCAATGCATCTCAACCCAAAAAAAAAATCCCGCCCATTTTGAACCCAAACACACGCCACCCCCAATTATATGTTGCTTACCCATGCCAGGTAGTCTGCATTACTCAGTAGCAAGAGGGTGTTTTTAATCACAACGGGTGAACCTTTGTAGATAATGAATAAGAAGTAAATTTTGATGTTTTCGAATTTAAAACTTAAGTAACTTTTTTGTACTTCACTCACACTCGATTTATTTAATAAGTTGTGTTGTATTGAATTAGTGTCGTGTATAAATTATATATAACTGGTATCTAATCGAATCGTACCGAATTTTTCTTTTAATTTGTTTCACTCATATTTAATTCGTTTATTAATCGTATCGTGCCGGATATACATCTATGAAACGCGTGGCTTAAAGAAAACTTAAATCTTTTAACTTCGTGTAATGTTAACGAATCATGTTATATTTTAACACCCTTAATTATAAGTTTTAGTGAAATTCATTTACGGACTTATTTACTTATTAGTAAACAATTATATCACGCACTTTTTAATGGTCCTATTTTCTAACTTATTTACATTTACGGACTTATTTCTAACGTTATGGTAAATTAGAGTTTTAATCTAATTTTTCGTTACGCCGTGCCTTCAGGCACGGGCAATTACTAGTTTTATATATTACCTCTATGTGGTTTGACAGAGTAATAACCTATTGCCACATTATAGTTTTAAAATCTACAAATAACCGTTAGGAATTCCTTTAAAATTATGGGTCAAGGGTCAAAATTCAACTTTTCTAGAGAAATAACGTATTAAAATGACTTTGATACTATGAATATTGTATTTTTTAAGGAAAATTTCAATCATACTTCTGCTAGTTTACCATAACTTCAATGATATTTTTTTATTATCCAAAACATCATTGACACCCATTTTAGTTTATATTTAAACATCATTGACACCTCCTATCATTAAACCATTGTTTCATTCAAACAAAAAATTCATTTAAAATACCAAAATTTTTCTTACATAAACCTCAAGCAATCTTTTTAGACATAATTCGATTAAAATTTGAGCCGATTAAAATTTATTTTTCTACATATTAAAATTTGATTCGAGCTAATTAAATTTTATTTTTTTTATGTATTAAAATTCTATTCGATTAAAAATTATTTTGTATATTAAAATTTGAACCGATTAAAATTTGTATTTTTTTTACTTATTAAAATTCTATTCAAGTTGATTAATTTTTTTTTAAGTATTAAAATTTAAGTCGATTAAAATTTATATTTTTTTATATATCAAAATTCTGACTGATTAAAATTCAATACGAGTTGATTCAAATTGATTAAAAACGAATTTTAATTGACTCAAATCGAATTTTAATCTACTCAAATTTTAATACTAAAAAAATATAATTTTTAATTGACTTGAATTTTAATACATAAAAAATAATTTTAATTAGCTCAAATCAAATTTTAATATGTAAAAAAATTCAAAAAACAAAATAGTTCTTATTGAAGATATGCCTATCTGGGGGTATGAATAAAATTTTTCCTAAAATATATCTTGGGTAGTTTAATAAAATTGCATTCTAGTTAAAGCTATTAATCTGACCGGGAGTATCAATGAAGAATCAAAAATCAAAACATAGAGGGAGTGTCGATATGATTTACTAAAAGGGATGTAACTGAATTTTTCTCGATTTCTTAATTATTATGTCCCTAAAGTAAACCAATTTTACTCTCTCCCCCCCCCC